ATCAAACCAAAGCCAGTAGCCTGGAACTCTGTTCTTCCAGGTCTCCCATGTGGGTGGTGGGGGTGCTTTCCAAGAGCATTTGCAGGAAGCTGGATTGGAAGCCAAGTAGCTAGAGCTCAGCTGGCGCCCAGATCTGGGATGCCGGCATCCCAAGCAGCAGGTTAACCCCTGCACCACAGTGCCAGCCCCACTTCTTTCTTTTTAACAGCTGCACAGTGTTGTATCAGATGTCTTTGGACAATTTTTTTTTAGCCAGTCTCCTCTGATGTGTTGGCTTCGCTTTGTTTTTTTCTGTTAGAAACAGAACTGCACAAACATCATCTCTGCATGCTGGTAGATTTCTGTAGGATAGGTTTAGAAAAGAAATTGCTAGATCAGGGGTCTTTTGATGAAAGAAAGAAAAGAGAAGAGAAGAGAAGAGAAGAGAAGAGAAGAGAAGAGAAGAGAAGAGAAGAGAAGAGAAGAGAAGAGAAGAGAAGAGAAGAGAAGAGAAGAGAAGAGAAGAGAAGAGAAGAGAAGAGAGAAAAGAGAAGAGGAGGGGAGGGGAGGGAAGGGAAGGGAAGAGAAGGAAAGAGAAGGAAAGAGAAGGAAAGAAAAGAAAGAGGGAGGGAGGGAGGGGAACTTTTGTGAGAATGTGAGAATGGTTCTACCCTGCCAGCCAAGGTGTTTCAGTTGAATACTTCGGGAAAACAGGGAACAGTATATTCTTTTTTTTTTAATTTTTTTTAACTTTTATTTAATGAATATAAATTTCCAAAGTACGATTTATGGATTACAATGGCTTCCCCCACATACCGTCCCTCCCACCCACTACCCTCCCCTTTCCCATTCCCTCTCCCCTTCCATTCACATCAAGATTCATTTTCGATTATCTCAATATACAGAAGATCAGCTTAGTATACATTAAGTAAGGATTTCAACAGTTTGCTCCCACACAGAAACATAAAGTGAAAAATAATAGATGATTTTTTTTTAAATGATGATGAAATCAGATCAGACCTATTGTCATGTTTAATCCCAGTGAGAGTCAAGTTGGGAGTTGATAATTTCTTTTTTTTTTTTTTTTTTTTTTTTTTACAGAGGATCAGTTTAGTATACATTAAGTAAAGATTTCAACAGTTTGCACCCCCATAGAAACACAAAGTGAAATATATTGTTTGAGTACTCGTTATAGCATTAAATCTCAATACACAGCACATTAAGGACAGAGATCCTACATGAGGAGTAAGTGCACAGTGACTCCTGTTGTTGACTTTACCAATTGACACTCCTGTCTATGGCATCAGTAGTCTCCCTGTGCTCCAGTCATGAGTTTCCAAGGCTATGGAAGCCCTCTGAGTTCTCCGATTCTTATCTTGTTTAGACAAGGTCATAGTCAAAGTGGAGGTTCTCTCCTCCCTTCAGAGAAAGGTACCTCCTTCTTTGAAGACCTGTTCTTTCCACTGGGATCTCACTCACAGAGATCTTTTGCCAGAGTGTCTTGGCTTTCCATGCCTGAAATACTCTCATGGGCTTTTCAGCCAGATCCGAATGCCTTTAGGGCTGATTCTGAGGCCAGAGTGCTATTTAGGACATCTGCCATTCTATGAGTCTGCTGAGTATCTCACTTCCCATGTTGGATCACTCTCCCCTTTATTTATTCCATCGGTTAGTGTTAGCAGGTACTAGACTTGACTGAACACCAAAAAGGAAACCTCCTGAAGTGAAATGGACACCATGGGAAACGGTGACTTGATCAGCATAGCCCTGACTGTTAATGAACAACTTAATACATTTTCCCTCTTAGTAGTTTTTTGTCTGTTCTACTTAATATGACTGGTTTAATTCTGTAATTAATACACAGTTATTCTTAAGTGTTAAAAATTAACTGAAATGTGATCCCTGTTAAACATAAGAGTGGGAATAAGAGAGGGAAGAGATGTATAATTTGGGACATGCTCAAGCTGACTTGCCCCAAATGGTAGAGTTAAAAACATACCAGGGGATTCCAATTCAATCCCATCAAGGTGGCATGTACCAATGCCATCTCACTATTCCAAGTGATCAATTTCAGTTCACATTGATCATAATGAAAGGACTAAGAGTCAAAGGGAGCACATAAACAAGTCTAGTACCTGCTAACACTAACCGATGGGAACAGTATATTCTAAAAACCTCCAAGGTGGGTGTGTTAAAATGCTGGGCAATGAGGACCTTATCCAAGACCCTGCAGAAGTGGGACAACCAATGGGACATAGTCAGTTGCCTGGCAACAAACTCCAACAGAAAGCAGAAAGGAAGGGTGGACAGGCAGGTGTGGTGGGCTGTGTATAAAGGACAGCATAATGGAGTAATAATCCGTTACGTTCGTGTGACACTTCGCATTTTGCACAAGGCTTTCATGTCCACGTTCCAATTCAGGCTGCACAATGGCCCTGCACAAAAAGTCTAAGCAGCTGAAAATATTCCATTGACTTTCTGTGAATGGACATCGTGGATTCTAACATTGCAAAAATGTGGGGATAGTGATAGCCTCTACTGAACAAGACCCACTGGCTGAACCACAATCTTAAGCCCAAGGAAGCTATGGAAGTAGATTAGGGAGCCTCCCCAGGCCAAAGTGGTGGGTGGCTTCCACTCACCACATGCTGGTCAGCATCTCCCGAGACTGGAGGGTGGATCAGCGCCAGGCTGGCATTATGAGAGCACCAGGAGAACTCGTGAATGTGCAGATTCCCTGACCTTAGCCCCTCCCCGCCAGGTTCTGATTCCTTGGGTTTGAGGTGCGGCCAGAAATCATGCATTTTAACAAGCTCTCCTAGCAATGCAGATGTGCAGCCAGTCTGTGAGCCACTGTTCTCTCTGAGTCTCTGAGAACTGCAGCTACAGGACTTTACAGGTCTGTGGTTAAGAGGGATGGAACACGTAAGTTGGTGGGCCTGGGTTGAGAAAAAGCAGACTAATCTGTCTAGTTGAGTCCTCTAATGGATCTGTGTTTTGACAGAGAACTTCCCGTACAGTGATTTCTAAGAATTTAATGTACATATATATTTACATACATATTTACATACCAAAGGCTGTTTAAGATATTAGGGCTGGCATTAGAGGCGTGTCTTACCATGAACAGAGGCCTGGCCTAGAGCAGCTACTCTTTCAGAGAGGACCAAACCCTGACGTTAAAGCCAGAGGCCCCATGTCCCCAGGGACGACCTTACACACGAGCCTCACTTTTCCTCCTCTGAGAAATGCACGCCACCAGACCCCGCAGTGGTTGTGGCATCCTTGGTTCCCCAGTTTTGCTCTGCCTGTCCTTCTCTTGCAGCCTGCTAGCCCATGCTAACATGCAGCCTCTGACTGAATTTCTCCTCCTCTGTCAATCTTTTTTTTTTTTTTTTTTCAATATTCCAAGATTGTTCACAGAAGCCGGGACTATAAGCTTTTGTGTAAGAGTGTTTATTTACATAAGCAATTATGATATATTTAAGAGGCGCATGTACATGAGCTTTCTCCTTATTTTTTTAAAATATATTTATTTATTTGAAAAGCAGAGTGACAGGGCTGGCGCTGTGGCATAGCAGATAAGGTCACCACCTTCAGTGCCGGCATCCCATATGGGCGCCGGTTCAAGTCCCGGCTGCTCCACTTTTGATCCAGCTCTCTGCTGTGGCCTGGAAAAGCAGTGGAAGATAGTCCAAGTCCTTGGGCCTCTGTACCCCCATGGAAGACCCGCAAAAAGCTCCTGGTTCCTGGCTTCGGATTGGCCCAGCTCCAGCTGTTGCTGCCATTGGGGGAGTAAACATCTCTCTCTCTGCCTCTGCCTCTCTGTAATTCTGCCTCTCTGTAATTCTACCTTTCAAATAAATAAATAAGTCTTAATTTTAAAAAAAGGCAGAGTGACAAAGAGAAGACTAGATGGAGAGAGTTATCTTCCATCTCCTGGTTCACTCCCCCAAATGCCTGCAACAGCCAGGTCTGGGCCAAGTAAAGACAGGAAGCAGGGACTCCTACTGGGTTTACCACATGAGTGGCAGGAGCCCAAGCGCTTAAACCATCATTCACTACCTCCCCAGTGCATTAGCAGGATGCTGGATCAGAAGTGCAGAGTAGGGGCCCATGCTGTGGCATAGTGAACTAAGCCTCTGCCTGCGGCACCAGAATCCCATATGGGTGCCAGTTTGTGTCCTGGCTGCTCCTATTCCAATCCAGCTTTGTGCTAGGGCCTGGGAAAGCAGTGGAGGATGACCCAAGTGCTTGGGCCCCTGCACCCACATGGGAGACCCAGAAGAAACTCCTGGCTCCTGACTTCAGATTGGCTCAGCTCGAGCCATTGAGGCCATCTGGGGAGTGAACCAGCAGATGGGAGACCTCTCTCTCTCTCTCTGCCTCTGCCTCTCTCTGTAACTCTCTCTCTCAAATAAATAAATAAAATCTTAAAAAAAAAAAAAAAGAAGAAGAAGAAGAAGAGGAAGAAGTGCAGAGTAGCAACGATTCAAACCAGCCACTCTAATATGGGTTGCAGGCATCCTGGGTAGTAGCTTAGCCCAATGTGGCACAACACCTGCCCCTCACTTCTCCTTCTTACCAGGAAAATTTTGAACTGTTTTTGTTTCTTTTCTATCATCTTATTTCTTCATTAGAAAATGGATTTATGAGCTGGGCTTGCAAGTAAGCACTTAGAGTGAACCCAGAAGTGTTCATTCATCAGCTTAGCCACGCTCACGGTGTCCTTTCGTGCCACAGTGTTTTTATTTTCTTTAATGTTCTTGTAGTCCCCACCTTTGCTATGCGATCAGGTTGATTGTAAATATTGATGCTTGCCCTTGAAGCTGAAATGTAGTAAAGTGAAACGTAAAGAAATTAAAATAAGATGGAGTTGGTACTAGGCCATCATGGAAGTTGAGACTTTAGAATTCTCTATATCTGTAACTGAATAATTACAGCAGAAATGGCAGACCTTGGAGATTCTCCCTAATGAATATTAGGAGCGACAACCACTGACTCCCTCTTCCATTCTCCCACAGTGAAAACACTGTTCAACCCAGCCCCTGCCCTGGCTGACCTGGACCCCCGCTTCTACACCCTCTCCAGTGTGTTCTGCTGCAACGAGAGTGAGGTAAGGGTGGATTCTTCCAGGCGTTCAGCGAGTGGATAAAGCAAGGAGGCAGAGCTAACCAAATCCATTTGACAACATGAATTCCTGGGCACAGTGAAAGTGATTCTTCACTTTACTGGGAAATGGGGAGAAAAGGACAGTTTTAAGTCCCAGCAGCGGGGAAGGTGATTCTCTGAGTCCCTGCTGTCACCTGCTACTTACCAAACCGGAGTTGATGCTAGTCCCCCCCTCCACCCTCACACTGTTGGTCTTGTATTTTCTTTTCTAATTATTCCATCTTTACAGACTAATTAGTATTGGAGTTGCCAATTTTAGCAGATAAAATACAGACTGCCTAGCTAAACCTGACTTTCAGATAGACAATACCATCCTAATACACTTGTACTGTAAAACTTGTTTACTGACACTCAAATCTGACTGAGCTCCCTCTGTTTTACCTGGGCTCTTGCAAGCAGAGCATCTGCTTCCTACAGCTGCACAGACCCCATGACAGCATTGGGGACCAACTGAGGCTCTCCACTGATGCCATGGGAAAGGCCTCTGAGTCCATCTGAGGACCATAATGTACGCATCTCACAAAGTACCTTTCAGTGTACTGATACTGGATCGCTCTTAAGTATTTCTAGGAAGAAAATTTCAATATTTCTCCCTTTTCATAGGTCCTACAGCACTAGAGCAGCATTCTTTCCCATCAGGGCATATTATCCACACCCGTGAATGCAGCTTGCAGAGAGTAACCAGTGAACTACAGTAGTTAACTTTCCATTTGGTTCAAAGGCTAAATGAAGGTTTATAGAATTTCTTGAGCTGAATTTGTGAAAATTTCATCTCTCAGACCATGGAGGATACAAAAAGAAGACTGTGACAAAGAAACTAATTTTAACAAACCACAGTGGTTATGCAATATTGCTGAACAGCCACCATGGCCAGGCATTGTGCTAGGAAAAAAGGACTTGTGGGAGATAGTGACCGTTTCATAACAAGAACTTAGATCACCCCTCAGCCGCCAAACTGGCTTAGATTTCCCTGCTACATACTTAACGAGTACTGGATCTGCTCCCCAGACACTCATCACACCTCCCATTACTTATTCGTTCCTTCTGTCTTCTGCATTAATTGCAGGTTTCATGAGGACAAGAGCAGCTTGTCTTACTTACCAGGCTATCCCAAATGACCATCCCTGTGCGTGTAGCTATCTACTGCTGTGTAATAAGTTGCCCCACAATGTGGTGGATTACAGCAGTTACTCCTTGTCATCATTGTAATCATTTCTGAGCATCAGGAATTCAGATAGAGCCCAGCGTGCATTGTCTCTGCTTCACAGTGCTTGGGGCCTTAGTTGGAAAAACTCAAAATGCTGGGATCTCGCCGGTGCCGCGGCTCACTAAGCTAATCCTCTGCCTTGCAGAGCCGGCACACTGGGTTCTAGTCCTGGTCGGGGCGCCAGATTCTGTCCCGGTTGCCCCTCTTCCAGGCCAGCTCTCTGCTGTGGCCACGGAAGGCAGTGGAGGATGGCCCAAGTGCTTGGGCCCTGCACCCCATGGGAGACCAGGAGAAGCACCTGGCTCCTGCCATCGGATCAGCGCGGTGCGCCGGCCTCAGTGGCCATTGGGGGGTGAACCAACGGCAAAGGAAGACCTTTCTCTCTGTCTCTCTCTCTCACTGTCCACTCTGCCTGTCAAAAAAAATTAAAAAAAAAAAAATGCTGGGATCTCTTGAAGTCCCCTTTACTCACATGCTCAGTGTTGATTGTTGCCTGGGGCATCATGGGACTGCTGGCCAGGACACTTACAGTAAGCTCTCCTGTGGCCCCGGCCTCCTCAAGTGTGGTGTAGCTGGGTTCTGGGATCCAGCCTCACATGCAGGAGCACTAGGCAGAAGTCATGTTGGCTTTTCAAACTAGTCACACAACATCACTTCTTTCTGCCCCATCCTGTGTTTTTGTTGTTTCTTTTCTTCTTCTTTTCTGAGAGGCAGAGAGACAGCTGCCGTCCACTGGTTTACTTCCCAAATGCCTGTGATGGCTAAGGCTGGGCCAAGGCCAAATTCAGGAGCCAAGAAACTCAATCCAGATCTCCCACATGTGTGGCAGGAAAGTCAATGACTTGGGCCATCACCGCTGCCTCCTAGGGTCCATGTTAGCAGGATCCAGAGGCAGGAGTCAAACACAGCCACTCCATGCAGGATGCAGGCCCCTTAACTGCTGGTCCAAATGCCTTCCCGACCCCATTCCACTGACTAAAGCAGGGAGGTCCCCCTTGGCACCCCATCTGTGCAGATTGTCATTAGTTTGCATGAAATACTCTATATTACATAATTATAACTATGTAACTTATACAATTATTAATACTATAATTAATAATGTGTAATGTTATAAAATACATAGGAAATGTTACACTATCATAAATATGTAAATATATTATACTAATATATAATTATCAATAATTAATATGCATTAATATAATTATCTTTGGGAACTAACACTGCTATAGTGTTCCTGCATATGGTTGGCACATAGTAAATACTTATTAAGTGAACAAACTCTGATCTTTAAGGAAATTGACCTAAAAAACTTAATGGAGGGGTTGGCACTGTGGCGTAGTAGGTTAAGCCTCCGCCTGCAGCACCAGCATCCTAAATGCACACCAGTTCCTGTTCCAGCTGCTCCTCTTCTGACCCAGCTCTCTGCTTATGGCCTGGGAAAACAGTGGAGAATGGCCCAAGTGCTTGGGCCCCTGTACCCACATGGGAGACCTGGAAGAAACGGCTCCTGGTGTCAGATCAGCTCAGCTCCGGTCATGTGGCCATTTGGAGAGTGAACCAGCAGATGGAAGACCTCTTTCTGTGTCTCTCCCTCTCTCTGTCTATAACTCTGCCTCTCAAATAAATAAATAAATAAATCTTTAAAACAAAACTTAATGGAAAAAAATAGGGGCCAGCATTGTAGTCACTATGTTAAACTGCTGCTTGCAATGCTGGCATCTATACCCCAGCACTGATTGGAGTCCCAACTGTTCCATTTCTGATCCAGCTCCCTGCTATATTGTGGGAAGGCACAAGAAGATGGCCCAAGTACTTGGGCCCTGTCAACCATGTGGGAGAACTGAATGGAGTTCCAACTATTGGCTTTGGCCTGGCCCAGCCCATGGCAGCCATTCAGGGAGTGAACCAGCGGATGGAAGATTTCTTTCTCTCTCTGTCTCTCCCTCTCCCTCTGTCACTCTGCCTGTCAAATAAGTAAAGTGGATCTTTTTTGAAAAAAGAAAAACATTAAAAGCTCAAAGGTTCTATGGATGAGTTCTAATCACAGTAGTGTAAAGTTGTACATAAGACACTCTCTCTCTGCCCCACACACAAACCACGGATACATAAATGTTAAGAGATAATTTAAAAATAGTCACAAGCCCAAAAACAAGATAAATAACTCCACGTATGTAGCCTGGATGGTGTGCCATACACCAGCCCCACAAGCAGGCAGAGTGGCAGGAAGCTCACCTCCTATGGGTAAGGGACACAGAAGCGAACCACTCATGGAGACTGGAGCAGTGCCCAGTCTGGGCAGGGCGCCCCTGCTAACAATACCAGGAAGAGGAAGCTGCTGCCCCTGCTGTCTGAGGCCACAGCATGAGGAGATAAGGGGACAAAGACAGCTGCCTCTGACAAGTAGGGAAACTAAGCTAACCACACTTAGAGACTGGACTGGCAATAGCCCCATCACAGCAGAAAAGGAAGTCCATATTGCCAGTATAAAACCTGGCTCCGATTTAGAGACCCTCAGGGGCCTGGTGGATGTTAACTATAAATCTCGTAGGGATAAGCCTTGTGGGAGCTGAAGTATGAAGATGACTTTCCAACTCTCAGTGAGCAGAGTGATCCTGCAAATGAAGAAATAATACTATGAAGTTTACCCAGAAAATCAGGGTAAAGATGAATTTGTCCAAGGTCAAATTAAAGTAATAAAACAAGGCAAAAAAAAAAAAAAAAAAAAAAAACTTTAAAATAAGTATGATGAGCCGGCGCTGTGGCACAGCAGGCTAACACCCTGGCCTGAAGCACCGGCATCCCATATGGGCACCAGTTGGAGACCCAGCTGCTCCACTTCCGATCCAGCTGCTCCACTTCCGATCCAGCTCTCTTCTGTGGCCTGGGAAAGCAGTAGAAGATGGCCCAAGTCCTTGGGCCCCTGCATCCACGTGGGAGACGCGGAAGAAGCTCCTGGCTCCTGGCTCCTGACTCCTGGCTCCTGGCTTCAGATCGGCGCAGCTCCGGCCATTGTGGCCAGCTGGGGAGTGAACCAGTGGGTGGAAGACCTTCATGAAAGCAGTGGTGTATGAATATGAAAAACAACTAATTAAAAGTCTTGAAAATGAAAGTTACACTAGAAATTTTTTAAAATCACTCATTTAAAAAATAAACATTAGATTGGAGTTGGTTAATTGAAAGAGTTTTGAAGTTTTGTTTCAAGAGGTAGAGAGAGACAAAGTACTCCTATCCACCAGCCCACTCCTCAAACTCCCCTAATGGCTTGGGCAGGGCCAGACCCAACCAGACCAAATCGGGGAGCTGGGAATGCAATCCAGTTCTCCCATGTGAGTGACAGGAACCCAACCACTTGTGCAGTCACCACTGCCTCCCAGGGTCCATTTCACAGGACGCCGGAGTCAGCAGCCACAGCCAGGCATTGGACCCAGGTACTCGGGTATGGGGCACAGGTGTCTTGTCAGGCTAAATGCCTGCCCCAAGAGAGAATTGGGATCAATTCACTTAGAGTAGCAAACTCAGTTCACCTAGAAAGCAACACATAAAGAAAGATATTTTTATATATTACAGAAGAATTTAGAGAATGATAGCCTGAGAGACACCAATACATGGTCTATTGAAGAGAATAGAGGGAGCTAAAGAAAAAGAAGATTAGAAGGAAAATTGCAGAGTATTTTCTAGAATTTAAAAAAGACATAAGTCCTCAGGTCAAAAGTATACAAAGAGACACCTAAGATAAATAAATAAACTCCCTATTTGTGAACATTCTGATAGAACCACGTAAAATCAAGAATGAAGGCAAAAATATTTTTAAATAGCCAGAGGGGGAAAAAAACAGATTACATATAAATGACAAGAACATCCAAGATTTTCCTGCTTGTTAAAGAGGAAAATGGATACAAATCAAAATGTCCATCAAAAGAATAGATTGTATTGAAACTGGGATGTTTACAGTATGAAATACTGGGTGTTGAAAAGAAACAAAGAAATAGAACCACATGTGTCAACTCGAATTAAATGTTAAGGAGAAAAAAGCACATTGCTAAATAATTTGTATCATTTAGCTTCTGTAAAGAAAGATCTGGAACAAATGAAGTAAAATGTGAAGACTTGTTAAAGGTAGATCGTGGGTGCATGGATGTTTGTAGCATTATTTGTTAGGTTAAAGATTTTGTCATGGAAGAATACTTTTATAAGAGGTTTTGAGGAGACACGTCAGTGTTTCTGAAGTAGACCATTCAACTAGACAGACGTAAGTGGTCCCAGTATTGAAGAGCAAAGCAAAATTTATTTTTTTTTTAAAAAGTGACCTCACAGTATAACCAACTCAGAAAGGATCTGTACAGAAGGTGGAAACCTGAGGCACATGGTCAAGTTCTCGAAGCCTGTGCAACTGAGAACATGGAAGCCTAGAACGAGCAGACACTTGCGAGATGATTTATATACAACAAAAAGGGTTCCTTTGGGCACATTCAGAGCAAACATAAGGGAGGCAGTCTTTGGAAGAAAGAGCATATGGGTAAGTTGTAACACAGAAAAGACAGAATTTGGTTATACACTTTTTGAGTCAAAAATCATCACGTAGGGGTGACTGGTGCAGCAAGTAAGCGGAGATGTCTGTGTCCCATGTTGGGAGTCTCCAGATTCCTGCTTCCTGCTGAGGCACACCCTGGGAGGCAGCGGGTGATGGCTCAAACACTTAGCTTCCTGCCACTCACAGAGACACCTGGACTGAATTTCCATCTCTTGGCCTTGGCCTTGGCCTGGCACAGTCCCAGCTGTTAACAGGCATTTGGAGAGTGAACTGGTAGAATGGAGATATTGCTCGCTCGCTTGCTCGCTCTCTCTCTCTCCTTCTCTCCTGTCTTTTTGCCTTTCAAATAGGAAAGAAATTTACATATCATATCATTCACATGGTTCAGCGATTTTTTTTTTTTTTTGACAGGCAGAGTGGACAGTGAGAGAGAGAGAGACAGAGAGAAAGGTCTTCCTTTGCCGTTGGTTCACCCTCCAATGGCTGCCGCGGCCAGCGCGATGCGGCCGGCGCACCGCGCTGATCCGATGGCAGGAGCCAGGAGCCAGGTGCTTTTCCTGGTCTCCCATGGGGTGCAGGGCCCAAGCACCTGGGCCATCCTCCACTGCACTCCCTGGCCACAGCAGAGGGCTGGCCTGGAAGGGGGGCAACCGGGACAGAATCCGGCGCCCCGACCGGGACTAGAACCCGGTGTGCCGGCGCCGCTAGGCGGAGGATTAGCCTAGTGAGCCGCGGCGCCGGCCCGGTTCAGCGATTTTTTAGCTGCCTATTTCAGAACCACAGAGTTTTCCCAGAGATGCTAGCGGGGTCCCTAAGGAACAAGGAATCCAGGCCTAAGGCCCTCACCCCCACTTCAGCCAAAGAGCTTGTTAGATTCTGGTGAAGAAGTACTGGCTCTCTCCAAGGCCCTCATCTTGCAGGCTTTAGGTGATCTGGGGAAAGTCATCAAGTTGCTGAGTAGTGGGAGTCTCCTGGATGCCAGGGCTTGGCTTCTTTCGCTCCAGATCAGTGCCTCCCCTAACCTGCTTCCATCTTCTCCAGCAGAAGCAAACACAACGGAAACGCGCAGTCTGCAGACATGCGTAGCTACAGCCAGCAATAAGAGCCAGGCATCAGGGGCCAAGACAGGACTGGAGGTTACATCCGCAGGTGCCCAAATTTACAATGCATACCAGTCATTGTGGTGGCCTTTCCTTCCTCCCCCATCCTCCTTTTTTATTTTGTAGAATTCTCTTTGATCCCCCAACTATTACAAAAATTATCATACAGGCAGAACAGCTGAAAGAACAACGAAGCAGCCAACACCCTACCTTCCAGCTGAACAGTTAGCATTTGCTCCCCCCTCCCCTGTATTATTTTTTAAAGATTTCTTTATTTGAAAGGCAGAGTTACAGAGAGAGAGGGAAAGACAGAGAGAGAGGAAGATCCTCCATCTGCTGGTTCACTCCCCAGCTGGCCACAATGGGATGGGCCATACCGAAGCCAGGAGCCTCATCCAAGTCTCCCACAGGGTGCAGGTGCACAAGGACTTGGGCTATCTTCTGCTGCTGTCCCAGTGCATTATCAGGGAGCTGAATCAGAAGTGGAGCAGCCAGTGCTCCAGCTGGGGCCCATTTGGGATGCCGTGTTGCAGGAGGTGGCCTAACCACTACACCACAATGCCAGACTCCCCATTTGTATTTACCCTTATTTGTTGAAAAATAAGTAAAGGGACTGGCGTTGTGGAGTTCCAGCTGCTCCGCTTCCAATCCAGCTTCCTGCTGATGCACCTGGGAAAAGCAGCGGAGGATGGCCCAAATCCTTGGGCCCCTGCACCCACGTGGGAGACCTGGATGAGGCTCCTGGCTTCTGCCTGACCCAACCCTGGCCATTGTAGGCATTTTAGGGGAGTAAAATAGCAGATGGAAGATAGAGCTCTCTCTCTCCCTCTCTCTGTATAACTCTGCCTTCAAATAAATAAAATAAATCTTAAAAAAATAAATACAAATATTTGTTGATAGTAAGTTACAGGCCTGATCATTCATCCCTGAATACGTCAGCATTTTATAAAAGGAACCATACCTAAGAAAATTATTATTTTTTTAAAGATTTATTTATTTATTTGAAAGGCAGAATTACACAGAGGTACAGAGAGAGAGAGAAAGAGGAAAGAGAAAGAGAGAGAGGTCTTCCATCTGCTGGTTCACTCCCCAAATGGCCACAACAGCCAGGGCTGGGCCAGGCCAAATCCAGGAGCCTGGAACTCCATCCCGGTCTCCCACATGGATGGCAAAGGCCCAAGCACTTGGGACATCTGTGCTGCCTTCCCGGGTGCATGAGCCGGGAGCCAGATCATGAATAGAGAGCTGGGACTTGATCTGGCACTCATATGGGACGCTGGCATTGCAGGCTGCAGCTTAACCTGCTGCAGCACAATGCCAGCCCCCGAGAAGGCCCTTGATAGCTAGTTTTTGTTGTTTTATTTATTTTCTTGTACCAGCATCCCTCAGGGTTCCCATTACACTGGTTGTTACCAGAAAAAAAAAAAAAAAAAAAGACACTTTCTAGAAAAGCAAATCCGATCTGGATCCGGATTACTTTTTCACTTCTGTGTGTTGCAGGCTGAAATTTTAACTGGCCTCACGGTGGGCAGCCCCGCGGACGCCGGGAAGGCTGCCTCCGTGCTGCTGGAGCGGGGCTGCCAGGTCGTGATCATCACCCTAGGGGCTGAAGGGTGTGTGATGCTGTCGCAGACAGAGCGTGTCCCGAAGCACATTCCCACCGAGAAAGTCAAGGCTGTGGATACCACGGTAGGTTTTAAAACTTAAGAATCCTTTTAGTCCTTGGAAATAATTATCTACTTAGTAACTAAGACATGACACCTGAGCTATTGGCCATGAGCAGGCCTGGGAAGCCTTATCGTGGATGAGAAAACCAACCAGACAGGAGAGGTGTCCTAACCCTGCCCTAACTCACGGTGGCACTCCACACAAGTCGCTTAACCGCGTTGCACCTCAGTTTCCTCATCCATGGTCAAAATCTGAAATTCAGTAACATTATACCTGTGCTCACTACATGCATTCAGTAGGTACTTGTTGAACATCTGTTATGTGCCCGTCATGGATTAGGTGCTGAGGATAGCGATGAACAAGGGAAGGTCCCTGCCTTCCTGGGGCTTACAGTCTATGCGCAGTAAACAAGCCTCCTGGAAACGAATAGCAAGAAGCATGGTTAGCAGAGGTCATTCTGTAGCCAGCTGATAATAACAGCTGGCACTCACTGCATGCCTGCTGTGTCTTTTTTGTATGTATCTCATTTAAACACCACAGCAATTTAATGAGGCCAGTACTGTTACTACCCTTACTTTACCCATGGGTCACATTGCCAGTAAGTAACAGGGCTAGGAGTTCAAAAGGAGGCATATGAAGTCTACACAGGTGTTTTTGTGTAAGGCACTCGGTTAAGGACAGTGTGGGAAGTGGACTAGAGTCGGATGAAAGAGAAACAAGTCTGACACAGGTTCCCCTACGGCTAGGGGAATAAAAATGGTTATTTTATTGTTAAAACTCAGAAGAACCAACCAGAAAAGTAAGTAAACTTTAGGGACAAAAAACTATTGTTGAGGAAGAATACAGATTTTGTAGATTTTTAAAAAGTGATTTATGATTTATTACTTGCAGAAATGTTTTGGTTTGTTTTTCTGTTGAAAAATAACTTTAAAATGTGGTCATTTTTCAAAAACCAAGCCTGAGGGGATCTGATAAATCTGTAGATACTAATGTGCTTTGAAAAATGCGTAACTGCAAGGAAACTTGTACAGCATTGACTTAACATCCTGTTAACATCTTTCAAAATGCACTTTATCCGTATTTGAGAAAACCTGCATGGTGATGTTGCTCCCTTCGTAGTAAGTCATTTCTGAAACCATTGAGGGTTTTTCTGTTTTGTCAAGAAGCACAGGAACATGAATTCGAGCGATTGCCTTTTAAACAAAAGTTTATTCGAGTTTATTCTCTTGCGAAAGGAAACACAAGCGGTCTGCGAAGACCTCAGACCTGCGTGGACTGGACACACAGAAGGGGCTCAGCCTGCATCTCAGTGCCTGTGTTAGTCGCCACTCCTCTCGGTTGTGAGCCCCACACGGGCCTTCGCAGGACAGGGGATTTGGGTGGTGCACCTGACCGGAAGTGCAGATGCAGCAGATGTGGAAAATTCAGCCATGTCCTCACGGCTGGCTGGCGTGCTCTCTCCCTGCCAGCTCTGCCCCCTGGAGTGGGCTTTGAGCGCAGGCAGGTCTTCTGCTCGCAGAGGTCGCTGGCAGCTCCATGCCCACACCGTGCCCCGTGGCATGTCCCTGTCCCTGGTGTCAAATAAAACTCAAAGTCTCATCAGAGGATGGCAGAGTGGTAGTGGTCAGACAAAACCACGTGTGCCACTGTAAAACAGTCATGTGGAAACTCACTGCTTGCACGGGGGACCGGAGGCCAAGAGTAGCCCGGGAAACGTGGACGTGGACATTAGTGGCAGTGGCCCTCCGAGGGATTTCGTGTTGAAGGACTGACTTCATAGAGCCTGACTGATGACGGCATTGACAGTGCTGATTTCTGCTTTGTGCTGATACTATTTTGTGCCCTTCCGTGTGGATTCTTAGCACTTGCAATTGAGTCTCAGCTTCAGCAAACTGAAGGTGGTGGAAGGATAAAGCCCACATCCCATTCAGGACAGGTGACCTTTGTTGTCTGTGGAAGCAACTTAACAGAGAAGAGGGGCTCTGAGACCAGGAGACTGGAGTCCAGTCCCTGCTCCTGAAAGCTTGCCGTCACTTAGTAGGTCAGCTGACCCCTCAAGGAATCAGATAGCTCACCCCTAAACCGAGCTCTCTGGGTCAGCCACTGGGAGCAGTAGTTAAGACATGCCATGTCAGGGTGCCCGGGGTCAAGGCCAGTTTCCCTTCCTAGTCCAGCTTCCTGACAATGTGCACCCCCAGAGGCAGCAGGTGATGGCCCAGTACTTGAGTCCCTGCCACCCACATGGGACACCCAGATGAAGTTCTACGCTCCTAGCTTCAGCCTGGCCCACCCTGGCTTTTGCAGGCATTTAGGAAGTGAATCAGCAGTTGGAAGGTCTCTGTCTCTCTATCCTTGTCTCTCCTTTTAACATAAAATTGTAAAAAGTATTTTTCAATAAATCAGATGAGCTCATTACATTCACACTGTGAACTGAGAAGTGGTTGAGATAGTTAGGAAGTAGTCTGTAAGGTTTCCTCTGACTCTAGATTTTTGGTTCGGTGGTTAGATGTTTTCATTCATTCATTCAACAAATACTAATTGAGATATGACTGCATGCCAAATGCGAGAAAGAAGAAATAGAATATCCCATCTGTTTGAATTTTTCTAGAGATTTTTAGTTTTCCTGCAGAATTTGAAGATGGATTTAGTAATTGCTATGTGGAAAGCTGCAGGAGGCTGATGTGGTGTATCAGGTTAAACTCTCACTGGCAACAACTGCATTACAATGGGTGCTGGTTCGAGTCCCGGCTGCTCCACTTCAGATCCACCTCCCTGCTCATTTGCCTAGGAAAGCAGCAGCAGATGACCCAGGTCATTGGGCCCCTGGCACCCATGTGGGAGACCCAGATGGAGTTCCTGGCTCCCGGCTTTGGCCTGGCCTCCTCCAATTGTGGAGACCATTTGGGCAGTGAACTAGCAGATGGAAGATCTCTCTCTCTCTTTCTCTCTCTGTCTCTCTCTGTCTCTCTCTCTCTGTGTCTCTCCTTCTGTCTCTATCTCTCTGCCTTTCAAAATTAAAAGAAGAAACCACACTTTAAAAAAAAAAACCTACATAAATTGAAAAAAATGAAGTAAAATTTTCCCTCTAGGTCATCTGCAATCTAAGGGAGGAAAAGTATGATTGAGTAAATATAATCTCTGAACATCACGTGGCTGTAAATGCATAGTCATAACAATGCAAGTGCCAATTACTGATTTGACCAAAAATGGAGCTGTAATCATATTGTGAAGATGGAAGGATAAAATGAGTGTCTGCTTGGATGCATGAGGGAGCAGAGAAGAGAACTAAATGTTCATCTTCCATAGTTGGAAGTCAAGAGATAGTATCTAAAACTGATTTAAAAATAGCAGTATAAGCACGTTACCAGAAATATAAGATAAATACCAGAAGAAACCACTAAGAATTTAAAGTATTTGCCTCATGGAAATGGGAGTGGAAAAGAATGGAGCATTTACACTGTAAGGCTTGTCTTTCGAAACTATGTACAGAAATGGATTTGACTTTAAAACAAACAAAAAAATAACAACACACAATGAGACCACTTCATACTCACTGGGGTAGCCATAATCAAAACCAGATGTTGACAAGTGGTGTTGAGGATGTAGGTAAATTAGACCTCTCATACGTAGCTGGTAAAAATGTAAAATGGGGTAGCCACTTTGGTAAGCAGTCCAAAAGTGCCTTGGAAGCTAATCATGAGTTAACTATATGTTTCAGCAACTCTACTTTCAGGAATATACCAAGGGAAATAAAAACATGCTTCCACACAAAAAGTCATATACAAATGTTCATATCAGTATTATTCATAATAGCCAAAAGTGGAAAACATCCCAGTGTCCATCAGCAGATGAATGGATAAATAAACTGTAGTATAGCCACGCGATGAAATACTATTCAGCCATTAAAAGGAATACTGATACTTGCTATGACATGGATGAATCATCAAAGCATTATACAAGGTAAGAGAATCCAGATGAGGCTGGCACTGTGGCGTAGCAGGTAAAGCCACCACCTGTGACACCAGCATCCATGTGGGTGCCGGTTCAAGTTCTGGCTGCTTCACTTCTGATCCAGCTCTCTGCTGTGGCCTGGGAAAGCAGCAGAAGATGGCCCAAGTGCTTGGGCTCCTGAACCCACCTGAGACACCCAGAAGAAGCTCCTGGCTCCTGGCTTCAGATCTGCCCTGCTCTGGCCATTGTGGCCATTTGGGGCGTGAACCAGCAGATGGAAGACCTCTCTCTCTATCTGTGTGTGTGTGTGTGTGTGTGTCCTTCTCTTTCTCTCTGTAACTCTGCCTTTCAAATGAATAAATCTTTTAAGAAAGAGAAAGAGAACCCAGATACAAAAGGTCACACATATGATTCCATTTATATAAAATATCCAGAATAGATAAATCCATAGACATAGATCATGGATTGGGGCTCCCAGGGGCTCCGAGAGAGAATAGGGAGAAACTGATTACTGGGGAAGGAGTTTTGCTTTAGAATGGGGAAGTGTTTTGACACGATACAAAGAAGATGGTTGCACATTGTGATCTAGTAAATCCCACTGAATTACACTTTAAAATGATCAAATTATTAAATAACTGTTTTTTCAAGGAATGAAAATGGCATGACTCAGCCTTGGAGGCATTATACTAGGTAAAAGAAGGCAACATGAGAGCCCGCATGGTGTGGGATTCATTTATATGAAGTATCCAGAGTAGGTCAGTCCACAGAGACAGGAAGTAAACTGTCAGTTGCTGGGGACGTGGGTACTGCATTCCTCTGGAGGATGATGCAAATGTTCTGGAATTCGTGGTGATCATTGGACAACCTTGCACAAAAGCTAAAACTCACTAATAGGTGTACATTTTAAAGATTGATGTATTTATTTGAAAACACTGAGAAAGAGAGAGAGATCTTCCATCTGTAGGTTTATTCTCCAAATATATGACCGCAATGGCTGGCACTGGGCCAAATGGAAGCTGGCACTGGGCCAAATGGGTCTCCCGCATGAGTGGCAGGGGCCCAAGCACTTGGACCATCTTCTGCTGCTTTCCCAGGCACATCGGCAGGGAGCTGGATCAGAAGTGGAGCAGCCAGAACTCGAACCCGGCACCCGAATGGATGCCAGCAACAAGCAGCAGCTTAACCCACTATACCACAACCTGGCCCCTAAAGTGTTCCTCTTAAGGAGTGAGTTTTAGGATACTAAATTATATCCCAACTTAGAAAATTGCAAATCAGGCCAAACAACAACCACAAAGCTGCATCTGGGAACATGCCCAGTGAGTGGGTCTCCTGAATGGCCCTGCTGGGTCTACACAGTGGGCTCTTGGCATCCTCCCCATACCCGCTCCCCCGGGCAGGGCAGAGTTAATACTATCTGATAGGAACCAGGGTGGTAATTTTCCGGATCAGGGTCTCCTTTTTCTTTCTTATGCTCTCTTTATCCTCTCATCTAGCACTCATTTTAAAAGTCTTCCCTGTTCTGCACACAACTGCTCAGCCTCTTACGCCTAACGGAGAGGAGCTGATGCACACGGCGAGGTGCGGACTCCCAGGGGGGCGCTCTCTCCTCGCAGCCGGGCTCCCTGGCTGCCCTGGCAGGGGGGCATTACTTGCTCTGGCTGCAACCTCACTGCTCACTGCCTCATAACCCCCTACTGAGAAGTCAGGGCTGACACAGATGGAAGAAGCATCACTGGTCAGTCGGCGTGCTGTCCTCCTGCCTGGACGAGGCCAGGTCCTGTTCTGAGTTGGTGCTGGCTGCTGCAGACTGCTATATTCAGTTTTGCCTCGCCGCTAATAGCTGAGTATATCACTTCTATTTTTGCATCTGTTTTTCCTGTTGTACTAGCCTGGGATGGCGGCAGTAGCTGCAGATGTCCTCAGCTAGGTTTGGAAGACGTAACAGATGCGTCTCTCCCATTTCTGTGTTCCTGAATCTCAGCCGCCAAGTGACAGGTGCTCGTGTCCTCACTCTATCCCTTCCAACCTGAAGGCAAGGAGCTTTGCTTCTTGTGTTTAGCCTTGCACCCAATACCCTCTTCCTAGTCAGGGTTACCCCTGGGTAAGCACGGTAATATTTTAGGATTAGCACATTCATGTGGTATGATGTAACATGAGCTAGCCCTTGCCTATACACTCCGCACAATTCTTGATATATGGGTTCCAGAAACAGATCAGCACTCTCATCTCGAGATTCAGCCCATGGGCCAAATCTTACCTTCTGAAAATGCACCACTGTAGAGTAACACATCCTGCCTCAGAGTATAGCAGGAGCTGAGAGCAAACAAGTCCGCGCTGGGGGATGCATCATGCCCACTCTGTGCGTCCTTGTTTCCGCCCATTACTTTTTTTTTTTTTTTTAATTTTTTTTGACAGGAAGAGTGGACAGTGAGAGAGAGAGACAGAGAGAAAGGTCTTCCTTTGCCGTTGGTTCACCTTCCAATGGCCGCCACAGCCGGTGCGTTGCGGCCGGCGCACCGCGCTGATCCGAAGGCAGGAGCCAGGTGCCTCTCCTGGTCTCCCATGCGGGTGCAGGGCCCAAGCACTTGGGCCATCCTCCACTGCACTCCCTGGCCACAGCAGAGAGCTGGCCTGGAAGAGGGGCAACTGGGACAGAATCCGGCGCCCCGACCGGGACTAGAACCCAGTGTGCCGGCGCCGCAAGGCGGAGGATTAGCCTAGTGAGCCGCGGCGCCGGCCACCGCCCATTACATTTGACTCCTGTAATGCTCAGAGCTGCTCCGAGGCATGAGGCAGCATTGGCCTGAGTGCATGGATGCCCCGGGGAGGACTCTGGGTTTGGGAATCCGCTCTGATCCTGAGACTGCACCCTGACTGATGGGGATCATTTCTGTTCCGGTTCGCATGGAAGCATTCTATTCGGAGGAGAGGTTGCCCAGTTACCCACAGGTTCCCATGGTGGCCTCCTCTTGGTGTATCCCCCTCATCCAGGGCTCTGGCCTTCAGAAATCCAGGCTGCTCTCAAGGCTGGTTTCCCATGAAGCCACCTCCTTGGTACCATCCAGAATGACAGTCAGTCTTTGAAAACCCAGCACTTGGGGGGCCATTATTCCCATCTTAGCGTGACCTTTGCTCCACCCATAACCCCCCTTGCCACTACCACCATTAGAAAGCCAAACTGATTTTTCCAGAATTAGAACCAAGGGACTTAGGTGACCTTAAGCGGTGTTTCTCGCTTCTGGCAGCCTGAACACCGTTTCCTGCCCCGCCATTGTCCTGCTGGGAGGGCTAGGAGTACTCAGCAGCACGTGGGCACTGCCTGGTGTTATCCAGGACGCTCCTCCAGCTTCCCCAGCACACCCCTCCTCCTCTCCTCTCCCTTCTGATCAACCCACACTTTGCATTTGTTAAGAATCACTAAGGAGGGGCCACTGTTGTTGGCATGGTGGGCTAAGCTTCCGCCTGTGGCACCAGCATCCCATATGGGCACCAGTTCATCCCAGCTGCTCCTCTTCCGATTCAGCTCTCTGCCATGGCCTGGGAGAGCAGTGGAAGATGGCCCAAGTGCTTGGGCCCCTGCACCCGTGTGGGAGATCCAGAAGAAGCTCCTGGCTCCTGGCTTTGGATCAGCTCAGCTCTAGCTGTTGCAGCTATTTGGAGAGAACCAGCAGATGGAAGACCTTCCTCTCTGTCTCTCCCTCTCTCTGCTTATGACTCTGCCTCTCAAATAAATAATTTTTTTTTTTTTTCAAAATGAAATTACTTTGGAGCCTGAGGGAGCTGTGTGGCCATTTTATCAGCCTTCACATACTTCTCTCCCAAAACTTCTGGTACAGGAAAGACGCTTGAGTGTCCCTCTCGGTTGATTGCCAACTCTTGAGAAAAGGTTGGGAGATTAAAATACTGTGTGGGCAAATGATAGAATCCTGGGTGTTGAAGTATAACTATAAAGTAACAAGGCTAATTTTCTAACTGCCATATTATTTTTTTAATCACTGACTGACTCCTATTTCCTTCAAATTTTGACCTTCTGAGACACTTTTTTTTGTATTTAAAGATTTATTTATTTGAAAGGCAGAGTTACAGAGAGAGATAGAGACAGAGAGAGATCTGATTCACTCCCCAAATGACCAAACTGACTAGACACAAAAGACTGACTAGACCAAAAGACTCGAACTGATGCCCACATGGAATACCAGCACTTCAGGCAGAGGCTTTACCTGCTGTGCCACAGGAGACTCACTTTATTGACAGTGCATGACCTTTGGAAATACTCTTTTAGAACTGAACTGAGGGCCAGTGCCGCGGCTCACTAGGCTAATCCTCCGCCCGCGGCGCCGGCACCCCGGGTTCTAGTCCCGGTCAGGGCGCCAGTTCTGACCCGGTTGCCCCTCTTCCAGTCCAGCTCTCTGCTGTGGCCCGGGAGTGCAGTGGAGGATGGCCCAAGTGCTTGGGCCCTGCACCCGCATGGGAGACCAGGAGGTAGCACCTGGCTCCAGGCTTCGGATCGGCGCAACGCGCCGGCCGTAGCGGCCATTTGGGGGTTGAACCAACGGAAGAAAGACCTTTCTCTCTGACTCTCTCTCACTGTCTAACTCTGCCTGTCAAAAAAAAAAAAAAAAAAAGAACTGAATTGAGAGCCTTTTCCTCTCTTTTACCCTTGCAGTCACTTCACTGGAGTTTTTTCCTACTTAGGAAATTAATATACATGGTTCCCGACTTACAGTAATTCAACTTAATCTTCCATCTTTTTTTAAAGGTTTATTTTATTTATTTTAAAAACAGAGTTACAGAGAGTGGTAGAGACAGAGAGAGAGAGGTCTTCCATCCGCTGGTTCACTCCCCAGATGGGCGCAACGGCTGGAGCTGTGCCAATCCAAAGCCAGGAGCCAGGAGCTTCTTCAGGGTCTCCCACGTGGGTGCAGGGTACCCAGGGAGTTGGGCCATCTTCTACTGCTTTCCCAGGCCATAGCAGAGAGCTGGATTGGAAGAGGAGCAGCCGGGCGCAGAACCGGCACCCATGTGGGATTCCAGCACTTCAGGCCAGGGCTCTAACCCGCTGTGTCGCTGTGCCACAGCGCTGGCCCATTAATCTTCCATCTTTATGATGGTATGAAAATGATGAGCATTCAGTAGAGCTGCACTTCAGGTTTTGAATTTTGATCTTTTCCCAGGCTGGCAACAGTGCAGTAAGATCCTACTATGCAGTGCTGGGCTCTCAGCCCCACAGTCACACTCACAAGAGTGACCAGCGGTGCTCTCCAGCGTCCTTGTTGCTAAGCGCTTCATTCAGTGGGTTAGGGGTGTTGAGTGCATTTTTTACTGAATGGTATTTTCAACTTCAGGTGGATTTGTTGAAACAACCCCATGATGAGTTGAGGAACGCCTGTATATGCATAACATTCACGGTGGGGTGGGGTGGGGTGGGGTGGGGTGGGGCAGATAGCACAGGAACTACCAAAAAAGTCAGGTGCCCAGGGACCTACATTGAGCTGTAGCCACTGTAACCTTTTGGTGGAAATCCCTCTGGATTTTTTTGCTATGCACATTCAAACAGTTTTAAGTAGCTACTAAATCAATTTGAATATTTGCAACACTGAGGATTAATATGTGTAATTATGAGAAGCCTCATTAACCAGAAAAAAACTACAACAAATATTCCTCTAGATTAATATAAATAGGTAATTTTCTGAAGAACTATGAGAGAGAGAAGGAGGGAGAGAGGGATGGAGGAAGGGAGGGAGAGAGAGAGAGAATGCTCAGCCTCATTAGAAATCAGGAATGTACAAATTAAAACAACAGGGAGGTACCCTTGATTGCCCATAAGGTTGGCAAAAGATTGATTTTGTTAAAGTCCAGAGATTTAAAAAAATACTCTCCTGTAATTATGGGGGAATGGAAATTTGTACACGTTTTCAGAGATCAAATTAATGGCACCAAATTTTTAAACCTACTTTCAATTTGAACTAGTAAATCTCAGACTATACGCTACATAAATGCTCACATATAAACAAAGATTTGTACAAGAATTTTTTCAACTCTGTTTGCAGTAACCACGATTTGAGATGATGAATCTACCTAATAACCAATAGGAGGCTAGATAATAATAATGTGGTGCCATTTGCCTAAAAGTGACTCTCAAGGCCAGTGTTGTGGCATAGCATTGTGGGTAAAGCCACTGCCTGCCACGCTGGCATCCATAAGGACGCCAGTTTGTGTCCATCTTCTCCACTTCCAGCTCCCTGCTAATGGCCGGGGAAAAGCAGCAGAAGATGACCCAAGTACTTGGGCCCCTGCCACCCACGTGGGAGACCTGGCTCCTGTCTTTGGTCTGGCCCAGCCCTGCCATTGTGGCCATCTGGGGAGTGAGCCAGAGGATGGAAGCTCTCTGTCTCTCCCTTCTCCCTGGACTCTGACTTTCAAAATAAATAAATGAATCTTAAAAAAAAAAAAAAAAAAAAGGTAACTCTCTAGGGGCCAATGTTGTGGTGCAGGGGGTAAAGCCGCCAGCTGTCATGCCAGCACCCATATGGGTGCCAGGTCGGTCCTAGCTGCTCCACTTCCCATCCAGCTCCCTATTAATGGCCTGGGATAAAGCAGAGGAAGAGGGCCCAAGTGCCTGGGCTCTTGGCACCCATGTGGGAGACCCAGATGAAGCTCCTGGCTTCAGCCTGGCCCAGCACTAGCCATTGCAGCCATCTGGGGAGTAAACCAGCAGACGAAGGATCCCCCCCACACACACTTTCTCTCTGTCTCCTTCTGTCTCTAACTATGACTTTCAAATAAATAAATGAATCTTTAAAAAAAGTATTTAGCCATCTATCTGTGAGTAAAGACCCATTTTAAAATCTGGAGCAAACCTCCCCAAACTGTTAGGATCCACTTTCATGGGAGGGGAGTAAGAGGGGGAAGGTACTGAGAGGAGGATTTCCACTTTCTCCTCCCTGTTCTGAATTGTTTGAGTTCTGCCGTAGTCTGTATTTGTCGTGTATAATTTTGCAATTTGGAGTCAGTGTGACTTTGAGACATAGCCAACAGCTATTTGAAGCCACATCCAGTACATCAAATGGGTGATAGCGCTTCTCCTAGGGTGCACTGGGCATGATCGTCCCTTGGGAGCTGGTGACTGGGTGCCCAGAGAGCCTCACAGCCAGTGCGTAACCGTGCTGAGCAGCCCTGGACTTAAGATGGTCCTGAGTGGACGGACCCTGAGGCCAAGCAGACCCGCACCGCCTTCGTCATCCCAGCACTCACGCTCTCGGCCTGGATATCTCACTGCACGCTTGGACGGGTTGTTGGGTTTTTTCCTTAATCTTTCTAAAGAAACGATTTTCCTCAAAAAGATGTTATTTTATACAGTCCCCCTTGGAAATACTAGAAGAGATGTCAAAGCCCCAGAGTTTCTGCTCATTCAAACGCACAGCGGATC